AACATGTTTGTGAACCTGAAACAAAAGCATCGCGAAACAAAATATATCCTTGCTTAAAAAGATAATGTCAAAAATGGTTTTAAGAACTGGAGTATGACACAGAAAAATAAACCCCAAGAGAAACAGTAAGGAAATAAAGCCCTGAAACACTGGTGGAGACTTACTAAGTTGATCTCAAGACCTACCATCTCTGTCCAGTCTGTTTGCAAGGGTAACAAGAGCAAACACATACAATATAGGTTGTCTCACACCCCAGGCACTGTTCTAAGTACTTTGTAGATACTGCTTAATCCTCACAACTATTTTAGAGGGAAGGTAATGTTAATACCCATCTTAAAGTTGCAGAAACTGAGGCCAAGAAAGATTAAGTAACTTGTCCAAGGTCACACAGCTAGGAAAAGGTGGGGCTGGCTTAGAAATTTAGCCTGACTTCACAACACCCTGCCATATTAGGAAACTCAGGCTCAGAGAAGCTCAACGGCCAGTCCATGGCCGTGCTGATATTGAAAAGCATAGACTAGTCCCCAAGAACAGTCCTGCACAGTCTGAGAGAAATGGTGTCAATGCTTAGATCCCAAATCAGGAACCAGTATTTGTTCATCGAACCCAATTATGAGAAGACATCCCTCCAGTTTGGCCAACAGGCCAGCTGTCCTTCTAAAGCTTCGCTGTCCAATATGGTAGCCACCAGCCACCGCATGTGGCTGTTTAAATGTAAGCTAATTAAATAAAATTAGAACTTTGGAGTCTCACACCTGTCACTTGTGCTCATGCTCACGGCTCCCACTCGGCACAGCACAGACTAGAAGACACCGCTGTCCTCACAGCAAGTCCTGTTGAACAGGGAGGAATCTGGAGACTGCCCTGCCGGGGCTCCACGATCGCTCTCTCTAAAGGGAGGACTGGAATATTCTTTCATTAAACGACAATGCAAGAGCACATTCCATCAGATATTTTTTTAACAGCCACATTTAACTGTGTTTTGCCTTAAGTGGTACGGTCAGATTTTCATGTAAATTAACAAGTCTGAAAGAAAAGCCCATTAACTAGCCCACCAACCCCAACCTGAGTTTCAGTCCACGGTCGTGACACCTGATGGTACCTGTGAACTCGCACCCCGTAGATTTCCAGTCCGCTGTGTTGCACCCCCAGGCCGTGCCCCTGCATTTGGCATCCTGTGCCATTCGATGCACAGGTATTGCCCTGAAGAGCTACAAGTGGAGAACAGGGAAAACTGCGAGTCTGCAAATCAACAGCAGCTCCCGGTTAGAAGCGCCCCACCCGGCCAGGCCTCCGCCCCACGGTTCCCACGCTGCCCCTGGCCGCACGTGCGCTTGCACCCACTTCACCAAGAAGACACCCTGGTTCCCAGGAGTGAAGTCGCCGGCCCAGACCCACACAGGCGATAAACAGAGAATCTGAACCTGGCCCTGTGCCACCGCAAACTCCACAGCCAGCTTCTTCCCCTGAACGGATTTACCTAATGGAAGCGGCGAGGAGACACTGACTCCAGCCCAACGATTGTGACCCAGCCCCGGAAAGTTCACCGCCGCGTTCATCAGAGCAATCAGGAGTGCGGGGCGCTGACGACTGCACTGACGCTCATCACCGCACGGCAGAGGCAGGGTGGCGGCCAGGAAAGAATAACAGGCCGACCAACGAGGCAGATGAGAGGGTTTAGAAAATAAGATCAAAGATAAGAGTGAGGGCAGGATATGCCAGCTGGTACAGTTTCCCCAGTCTGCTGCTGCGCCATTCTCTGCCCAGGCCCCAGGGCTCGCATCGTCGCAGGTGGGTTAGAATCATGGGTCTTTTCTCTCTTAGCCCCTAGAGTGCAGAGCCGAAATATGGGAATTCTGTATCTGCACCGTCCATATGGTGGCCACCTGTGGCTATCTGAGCGCTTGAACTGTGACCAAGGAACTGAATTTTTAATTTTACTTAATTTTAATGAATTTAAACTTAAATGTATACAGCTGTATGTGGCTGCTGGCTACCACATGGAACAGTACAGCACTAATGGTGAGCCATAGAAGGGCAGGGCAGGGCCTTCCCATCTGTATCCCACAACATCTAAACATGCAAACTAGTTGTTTTGGGGGCACCCTCTACGGTGACTCCCTGGGTCCCCATCCAGCTCTGGGAAACCTTGAGAAAGGGACTTAATCTTGCTTGTACCTCAACATTTGCATCTGTAAAATGGAGCATAAGTGGGCCTCACAAAATGTTAGAAGTTTTTGGATTCCCAGTGGAGGGCAAAGGGAGGTGCATCGCTTGATCTTCCCAACTTGTCTGTAGGTGTGAAGTTTTCCATAATCAAAGTTGGAAAACAAAATGCTAATACTTTTTATAAGAAGGCTCTGAATATTCAGTGCCTGGCACAAGGAAACAGCGGGTGCTTTGAAAAATACCTGGCAAGAATATATGTGCACAGCCCATGGACACAGGTGACAATGAGGTTAGGGCCAGAGGGAGGAGAGGGTGGGGCCTGGGGGGAGGG